AAAGAGCTTAAATGAGCTCCAAAATGTATAATTAGTTTTAAAAGCTAAAATTAGCATAAAACAGCTAAGCTAAATAGTAGCTGAAATATCAGAAAAAGCTGAAACTAAAGAGAAAAGCTGAAAGGAGCACAACAAGCTGAAATTAGCAGAAAAAGGTTAATTATGCAGAAATTACTCCAAAAACTTGAATTTTTCTGAAAACAGCTAAAATTAGTTTAAAAAATGCTATAAATTAAAAAAGTAGCTGAAAAGGTAGAACAAGTTTAAATTAGCAGAAGAAAGCATAAATTACATGTTTGCTGAAAGAAACAGAAATGAGCACAAAAAAAAGTAGAAAGTATCGGGAAAAAAGCTGAAATTTGCAACAAAAAAAAGACAGCTGAAAAGTAGCTAAAAAAGCAGAAAGAAGCTGAAATTACAGGAAGGAAGTGGAGAGAGCACATTTTTGCTGAATTAGGCTGAAAAAGTTGAAAAGAGTGCAAAAAAATGTGGAATTAGCTGAAAAAGCATACATTAGAATAAAACAGCTAAATATTGAAATGGAGGGGAAAAAAAGCTGAAACTTGCAGAAATAAGCTGAAAGGATCATAAAAAGCTTAAATTAGCAGAAAGAAGTTAGAAGAAGCACAACAATGTAGTTAGGAGAAAGAATCTGAAAGCAGCACAAAACAGCTGAAAAAAAACAGCTGAAAGTAGCTGAAAAAATAAATTTGCAGAAGGAAGTTGAAAGAAGCTGAAAAACAAAACGTGAAAGGAGCAGTAAAAGGTTGTAAACAGATGTAAAGATCTGAAGGATGTAAAATGAGCTCAGTTTATTTTCTATGAGAAAAATACGACAGAAAATGCTAAATATTTCAAAAAGCTAAAGTTGCACCAATGCCAAAAGTCATAGCAGGATTGTCCTGAAAGAGCTGAACGTTCTGATTTATGATTTGCTGAAATAGCTGAAAACTACGGGACGAGAATCGCACTGAAAAAAAAAAACACACGGAAGAAAAATGGCTGACAATAGAGAGAATGCTTCATAAACATTCACACGTTAAATCTCTGAAGCTAAAAGAAAAGACAGCAATAATAAACAAGTTCGGCAGTTTAACTCCACATCTACGTTGGCCCCAAGTTTGGTGTAGACAAAATAATCGAATGTGACTTGGAACTTAAAGTTCTGCAGCTCCTAAACTATCCACAACACGAGTAAAAGAAAAAAAAAGAAAAACTGGCGTACTTCAGAAAGACTACACTTCTGATCCAGATGGTCTGAATTGTTCTGGAAACACATCCACCCTCACCACAAGCTGTGACAGTAAAATATGTTGCAATCAATCAAGATAACTGTGTAAAATACACATATGGGGGTGAGGTAGGCGGAATAATCGTGCACCTCACCGTGCCAGAACTTGCCCGTGAAACAAAGTATTTGCCTAAGATGAAGAGGGGTTTCATTATTTCCTTCACCGACTTGATTAAAAACTAAAAAGGGGAAAAAAATGTTGAGTCGCATTCCAGAAAGTGCAAAGATGCCAAAACCTTTTTATTTTATTTTAAAGAAAATAAAAATTAGGAAAATAAATACTTGTCTGCAGGGATTTTGGAGGCAGATGGGAATTGTGTCACAGCTGCAGGCTTATTTTTCCGCGCCTTAACTTGTCACCGAGAAGTGAAGCTGAAGCGCTCACAGCACCAACATCAACGGTTAAAACGCACACACACTCAAAAACAAAATAATCATATTCCTTTGTTTATTTTTTTATTTCTCGTTAGGTTTTAAGCACAACTAATTAAAACGTCCAAAACTTAATAAAAACTGCAACAAGTCAAAGAAACAAGTTCTGGATACAGAAAACATTATTTTGGTTAACTGGCTCTTTATGTCTCCATAAAATCATAATAAATGACATAAGCAGTTCTTAAAGAAAAGCTCAATGCCTTGAAAAGTAAAGTAAAAAACCCCAGCCTCAATATCCATCATAAAAAAGAGCTGATATGGGTCAACCTGAAGATTTGCATCCACTTACTTTATTCACTTGGACTGTGTTGAAGACCTTTCAGCTACTAACACGCCAAACTTTAGCTCAGAATATAAAAGAACGGCTTGTTGGGAGTTAAAAATGAATTATAATTGACATGTTTGTGTCTGCTAAAGGTCAATTATCTTCAGAGGCCATCTTGATTTGGCTTGACAAGCAGTAGGTTGTAAATGTATATGCGATAATTACTTTCTAAGAGTTTTAATAAACTATAATAAATGAATAAAAGTGTTTTTGGATAAAACAATGATCTTTTAAAGGGACAAAAATAATTCTATGAACGGAGAAAAAGCATCTGAGCCGTTGACCATAAAGTACCATCTCTAGTTTATTCTGGGAATACAAAATAAAAAAATGTCATGGGCACATAATTGGTTTCAAAGGAAATATAAATTGTTTACTTGGGAGTTCTAAAACCAATGAATGATTGAACAAATTAATGCCACTTAAGTTGCCTAGAGCTCTTGAAAGAAAGTAAAAAAAAAAAAAAGGCAAATGGACAAGGAGCTTGTCTGATGATTGGCAATATGGGAAGAAAGAGACTGAACTGAACTAATTCAGAACATGGATGACGGGAAGCAACTGGTTCCTATTAAAAAGCTTGTACTGTATTTCCAAGAAGAGTAAAACTAACTAAATAAATAAAATTATAAACAAGGAAATGCTCAAATGTGTGCTTTCTTCTAGTTCTAGTTTAAGAATAAAAATTGATCATGGAGTTTTTATGTTTAAGTGACTTATTTCTGCGATGCTCATCATGCACTCCTCACATGACAGACGGCGCAGCAAGTCACGGCACCGACGCTGCACAAAGAACAAGCCTCGGGGAAAGAATGGAAATATATCAGCATTAATAACAAGTTACGCATAACTTGGACCCCCACCATTCAGTAGCGCCACACCAGAAAGTTCTGCTGGCGTGTAAACCTCAATGGGCGAGCCGAGGTGTGGGAAGGAAGCGGCTGATACCTCTGTTAACTTGTCCATCAGAAGGACTCGGCATGCAAAGAGACCATTAATCATCCAAAAAATAAAGACTGAACACCGCCTCCAACATAAGGCTCCACAACCACACCTCTGGCCAGAGGTGGCGGTGTGTGTGCATGAGTTTTGCACAGAAACAAACAACAAATTCTTCCACAAGACGCCAGCGAGACATAAAAAAGAATACAGAAATATGTTAAATCTTGTTTACTTGTCATATATTGATTGATTTGTCGAACAAAAGGCATGTAGTGGCACTAGCCTTTTGAGCGTTTTAGCTAGCTTTTGCTACTTTTAACGTTTAGTTACCACTTGGTTACTTTTAGCTTCTAACTAGCTTTATGATACTTTAATTAGCCTTTGCTTCTTTCTGCTGTTAGCTAGTGTTTTGCTCTTTTTTAGCTATTAGCCAGCGCTCCGTTTAAGCGTTTCACAATTATTACTCTTCTTTTTTTTTTTTTTTTTTACCTTTTAGCTTATTCTGGCTTTTTTTAGCTTCAATAACTCAAATGTAAATCGTCATTCAGAACTCAGCATTTAGTTTCTCTAGTTGTTACCTATGTTTTTTATTACAAAAGCATAATAAACTGAATTAAACTAGAGAAATTGCATTTCCTGCAAAAAATACAGTGTGAATGCTTTTTTTGCTGAAGAACTTGCTGAAAAACATCTGAAATTAGCTAAAACCTGCTGAAATATAGCTGAAATGAAAGAAAAAGTTTAAGTAAGCAGAAGAAAGCAAAGAACACATATTTGCTGAATTATGTTTAAATAACCAGAAATGAACACAGAAATTTGAAAATTTGCTAAAAAGCTGAAATTTGTTAAAAATAGCTGAAAAGTAGCTGGAAAGGCAGAAAGAAGCTTAAACTACCAGAAGGAGGTAGAAGGAAATTAAATGAGCTGTGGAATCAGCTAAAAAAAGCTAAAATTGGCACAAAACAGTTAAATAGTAGCTGAAAGGAGCATAACAAGCTGATATTAGTAGAAAGAAGTTAAATAGGCTGAAAGTCACAAATTGTCACAAAAAATTGAATTTATCTGCATACAGCTGAAATTAGCTAAGGAATGCTAAGTTAGCTGAAAAGGTAGAACAAGCTTAAATTAGCAAAAGGAAGTGGAGAGCAGATATTTGCCCAATGAGGCTGAAAGAAGCAGAAAAACAAAAAAAATTGTCAGAAGGAAGTGGAAAGACCATATTTTTTGCTGAATTAGGCTGAAAAAAGTTGAAATGAGCAAAAATGTGGAATTAGCTGAAAAAGCTCAAATTAGCACAACACAGCTAAATAGTAGCTAAAATAGCAGAAAATGTTGAAACTTGCAAAAATTATTTGAAAGGAGCATAACAAGCTGAAATTAGCAGAAAGACGTTAGAAGAAGCACAAAAACGTAGTTAGCAGAAAGTAGCAGCACAAAATAGCTGAAAAAAATTATCTGAAAGTAGCTGGATTTTTTTTTTTTTACATTTGAACAAGGAAACTGAAAGAAGCTGAAGCAGAACAAAATGTGAAAGGAGCAGTAAAAGGTAAACAGATCTAAAGATTTGAAGGATGTAAAATGAGCTCAATTCATTTTATATGAGGAAAAATGGCAGAAAAGGCTAAATATTTCAAAAAACTAAAGTTGCACCAATCCCAAAAGTCATAGCAGGCTTGTCCGGACAGAGCTGAACATTTTGATTTATGATTTGTTGTAGCACAAAAATTGTGGAATGAGAAAGATGCTAAAAAAATCATACAGAAGGAAAATGAATCACCGTAGTGTGAATGCTTCATAAACATTCACACTATTAACACAGTGCCATTTTTAATGATTAGAAAATCTTATTTGGTGCATTTGGTGCACCTGGTCATGAGCTGCACTTTAAAATGAGATCCACAGGATGATGGCATTTTCTTAAAAGAAAAAAAAAAGGGGAAATGCAGACAAAAGGAAGTCATGTTTTATCCTTAAAAGACCAAGTTGCAACAAGTTTGTTTGCACAGTTACCTGAGGATAGGCGTCGCTGATGGAGGGGACACATTCCGCTGAAACACGAACACACCTCAGACGAACGGCCTCGCTGCATGGGAGGAGCCAGTGAGCACTGGGGCTTCAAAAACCCTGGAATAAAAGAGACGAGGGGAAAGTTTAAAACGAGGAAGAGAAAGACGTTTGACAGAAAGCTAACAGGAAACGAGTTAAAGGCGTGTCCTCAAATGTTATGTCAGCATTTGACCGAGCCAACCTTTCATGTTTGGAGCTCTGCAGCCGACTGGACCTCACCCTAACCTCGTCTGCGCTCAGGTCAGCGGTGCACCTCGTTATACGCCCTCCAGACAGAGGACAGAACCTGCGAAGTAATGCTAGTCTGGTGGAAGGCAAAAGGCAGCAGGGCACAGAGATGAGTGGGCAAAATGCCACAGCAGACGATGCCTCGAGGGGCTGGAGACGGCCGTCTTACTGTCTGTCTCCAAGGTCAAAAGGGTCACCTTCAATAGGGAAGTCATTATCTGGCACAATGAGGCAACTGTGGAGAATGAACCCCCTCCAGCTAAAAGCTCACTGGCCACTGGAATTATCCAGGAAAAACAAAAGAGCGACAAATAAACTCAGACAACTGTACGATAATAATAATTTAAATAACTATTTAATATTATGAATGATGATAGAACACCCCTTAGAAAAGATAAACCAAAAATGTCAAAGTGAGTGGCAGCAGCACGAAAGACATCATATTCATCTTTCCTTAAACACACTTCATGGACATGAGAGGCGTTCCACTTTGTGACCGACACGACTCGGGCGTGTGCACCTCGAGACGCTCCGTCTTTTCCCATCGGACGGCTCAAGGGGGATCTCAGCGGCGCAGACCTTCAAAACTTCATTCACTCTTTCAGAAGACCTTTTGGATTTTCAGCAAACATCAGCACCAGCAGACACAGAACCCCCCCCCCGCGTCACTCCGCCCAATAAAGCTCCTTTATTTCCAGCATGAAAAACATGTCACTCCAGATGAGCTCAGAGAATGACATTTAAAACAGGCAAAGGGATATTGAATTAGTTCCCCATGAAAAGCTGGGATGCTGATATTTTTCTGCCTTTTGCAGGACGCTCGAGCGTGTGCAACATACGTGCGTGCCCATGTTCATGTGTGGCCATGGGAGCGTTTATATGTCTGATGCTTTTCTTCGGAGCTTTGATTGTTTAAGGCAGAACAAGAACAAACGTGAACACAATGAGCTCATCCTGGATATTAAAATTAAATAAAACACATGATAAGGGTTGTAAACACTAGCAAGCATGTTGCTACTTAGATATTTATTCTTATTGTTTAATACAAACAATAATTTCATTAGAAAATGTTGGAAAATACCTAAAAATATGACAACGCCTCCTAAACATAGTTGTATGAGTATCGTTAGAAATAGTGACATGCTTAAATAAGATTTAATGAAAATTTTTGTTGGCAATTCTGCACAATAGGCAGAGTTGACAGCCGTCATGACTACTGCTCTGAAAAAACAAAACAGAAATGTGTTGTCAATCGAACAGGATTATTTACTATTTTGACACAGAGTTTGGATGTCATTTACCAGCTGTCAGTCTTATCTGTCAGATTTCAAAATTTGTTTTAGTCGTCCTTCATGACCGAGACTAAAAATCAAGTGTTTTAACTCTCTGCCAATCAAACAAACAATCTAAAATAGTCAGCAGCATGTCAAACCATATGTAACTAGAGAAATTGCATTTCCTGCGAAAATGCAGTGTGAATGCTTATTGCTGAAGAAATTGCAGAAAAACAGCTGGAATCAGCTAAAAAGATGCTGAAATGTAGCAAAAAATGGAAGAACAAGCCTAAATTAGCAGAAGAAAGCAGAAATAACACATATTTGCTGAATTAGGTTTAAACAAGCAAAAATTAGCACAGAATTAGGAAAACAGCTAAGAAAGCTTAAAGTAGAAAAAAACTGCTGAAAAGTAGGTGAAAAGGCAAAAAAAAAAAAGAAGCTTAAACTACCAGAAAGAAGCGGAAAGAGCTGAAATAAGCTTAAAAAAAGTGGAATTAGCCAAAAAAAGCTAATATTAGCATAAAACAGATAAATATTAGCTGAAATAGCAACAAAAAAAATGCTGAAACTAGCTGGAAAAAAGCTGAAAGGAGCATAATAAGCTGACATTAGCATAAAGAAGTTAATTAGGCTGATAGGAGCAGGATTTACTGCAAAACACTTGAATTTATCTAAAAATAGCTGAAATTAGCTAAAAAGCTAGCTAAAAAGGTAGAACGTTTAAATTAGCAGAAGAAAGCAGAAAGAACACGGCCTAATTTGGCTGAAAGAAGCAGAAATAAGCACAAAAAAAGGAAAATTATCTGAAAAAAGTTGAAATTAGAAGAAGAGGAAAATAAAACAGCTGAAAAGTAGTTAAAAAGCAGAATAAGCTTAATTTACCAGAAGGAAATGGAGAGAGCACATTTCTGCTGAATTGGGCTGAAAAGGTTGAAACGAGTGCAAAAAATGTAGAATTAGTTGAAAAAGCTAAAATTAGCATAAAACAGCTAAACACTAGCTGAAATACTAGAAAAAACTAAAAGTAACAGAACACAAAGAAACTAAAGCACAAAGCAGGTGAAAAAACAGCTGAAATTAGCTGAAAGTAGCTGAAAAAAGTTTTAATTTGCACAAGCAAGCTAAAAGAAGCTGAACTAGAATAAAATATGAAAGGAGCAGTAAATGGTTGTAAATAGAGCTAAAGATTTGAAGGATGTAAAATGAGCTCAATTCATTTTCTATTAGGAACAAAAATGTTGGAAAAGGCTAAATATTGCAAAAAGCTAAAGTTGCACCAATACCAAAAGTCATAGCAGGATTGTCCTGAAAGAACATTTTGATTTATGCTTTGTTGAAATAACACAAAAATTGCGGAACGAGAAAGATGCTGAAAAACATGTGGAAGAAAAATGGACGACAATAGTGTGAATGCTTTATAAGCGTTCACACTATTAACAGCTTGGCCTTTCTTGAAGAAATGTGCAACATCCACTGCTGTTCAGGTCTGAGCTTTGACTAAGAAATGTCAAAGTTGTAGCAGCTTGCAGTACATGTGACATCTGTCCAGGCTTAAAAAAGACATTATTTAAAATATTCATCTGAAAAGTACTTCCAAATACTTTCATTATATATATAAAAAAAGTTAATTGTTTAAAATAAATCCTACACAGAGCCACATTTTCACCATCTTTGACAAATTTACCAGTTCTTACCGGAACACAAGTACATTCCTGGTTGTGTAAAGGGGTTGAAGGGCAAACAATGACACATGGTATGGGTTCGGAGCAATGTCACTGAACATTAAGGCATTAACATATGAGCCCGGGCGACCAGTCAAGTTGCACTTTTCCAAAATGAAAAGTAAATTAAGGAGACAGCTGCTCCCCCGCACCCCCCAATGCACACAGAAAAAAAGCTTCACTTTGTAAACCAATGGAGAAATGTTCCCACAGGCAGAGCAATGCTTCGGTGCAGAGTCGAAATCTGACTTTAAACATAAACTGGGTGCAAACCACATCGACCAACAGGACAAACTAGAGACACTGAATTTATTGTGAACATGCAGTTTGAATGTTGAGTGCTTGATTACCATTTAAAAGCTAAAACTAGAACAGCAGTTGGAACTTGAAACCAGCAGAACAATAGCGACAAGCTAAAATGAACAAAACAGTAGCTAAAAGGTAAAATGAGCAAAGCAATAACTAAAAGCTAGCAAAATAGTAGTATAAAATTAGCAGAACTGTGGCAGAAAGCTAAAACTAATACAGCAGTAGCTAAAGCTAAAACAAGTAAGACTGTAGCTAAACAATAAAACTACCAGAGCAGTGGTTAAAGGCTAAAACCAGCAGAACAGTTAAACACTAAAAGCATCAGAGTAATAGCTAAAACCAGCAGAACAGTAGCCAAAAGCTAAAACCAACAGAAGAGTTATTAAACACTAAAAGCATCAGAGTAATAGCTAAAACCAGCAGAACAATAGCCAAAAGCTAAAACCAACTGATCAGATACTAAACACTAAAATAATCAGAGTAACAGCTAAAATCAGTAGCTAAAACTAGTAGCTAAAGGCTAAAACCAGCAGGACAGTTACTAACCACGAAAAACAGCAAAGTAGTAGCTAAAACCAGCAAAACAGTAGCCAAAA